TGTCATATAATTGCGAGGGTCTGTCACTAGTGCCCTTTGGACACGATCAATCAAATAGATCGGTCTCGGTTGGCTCAAAACATTCCCTCGTCAATCGATATGATCGAAGATCGAACCCAGGTCGAGTTCTTTGGTCGTGCGAACTCAATCCCGCAACGGCCCTACCCCTAAGGTTAGCATCCCGTGAATGCGCATTGCCGGGTAAGACCTCACTATAGTGCATTGGTCAAATTCATTTCTTAAATCCCGGGAAAAGGATCGAAAATTCAGACTGTTACAGTAATACACCTGGGTTAGATACTGGAATTGGAATTGTGTTCACCCCTCTTTTGGACACCCTTGATGTTTCTATTTCAGGCATGTCTCACATCTGATAGACTTTACAAAAGTAGTTGGCCTTTATGATGTATTCGCTTTTTTGCCTCAGGTCTAGCAACATCCACGACTCTGTACAGGCAGCTTTATGAATATTTTGATAGTGGATGTGTCTTTTTATGCCAAAGTGTGTTTCTCTTGACAACCTTTCTTTTCAAATTCCCAGCTCTTTCTAATAGTTCGGCTAAATTTTTGCAGTATAGATTTACTTGAATTATCTCTTGATACCAGTTACAAGCAGTTAATTCCGTCCTGTGGCTGCTCTTCTCTCTTGGTTTTTCACTTATAGGTTGGTGTCTTCAATGTTTCACTTTTCAGCTTTAGCTACCATTTCTTTGTCCTGAAAGGAAGTCAATGCAGGTCAATATTCTTGAGTACCGCCCTTGAATGATTAGTCTATCAACATCAATATCAGTACAATCCTAACCTACTGTACAGATTCCGTGAAGTATTGAGTTGTGCAGTCATCAAGTTCGTATCTTTTATTAAAGTCTACTCTAAAACTGTTATCCTATGTGCTCGTCTTCCTAATTATCCAAACCTTTCTGCTCATTATTCCTCACGAATGATGTTAGAGCTCAATGGAAGACCTTCCATGAGAAAATCGGCCATCGATCTGGACTTTAGGTAATTTGGCAATCGACCCCTTAAACTTTGAATTGGGTGAAACCAGTCCAACTTTGTGGGAATCTACTTCATCCCCTCCTGACACAGGTTGTTTTCAATGAGACTTTTCATAGTAACATGTCCGTCGAGCATCGATCTCAATCAGTATATGCACTTCAACCGCCACAATTCCAAGATGATAAGTGATGCTCTAATATGAGATTTCACAAATAGAGCACTCCCACATTGTTTTTTGGAAACCTAACGTAAACGATGTCAGAAATGACAAAAGTCGAATCAAATGGAATTTTGATTTCTGAACCAAATAGATAGTTTCGGCTTGATCGGCCCGTCTCGGTTCAATTCAACATTTGAACCGAACTTGTCCCCGCTCGATCTATAATATTTGAGTCCAAGTTGCTTCACTTGCTTCTTCACACTCCTCCATCATACTTTCCTAGAATTTGTGTACGCTAAATGGAAGCTCCAAAATCAGTCATGTCCATCTTAAACTTGCGAGTCTGTGATGCTTCAATTGCTACTTAGCAAATGAGACCTCCTTGGTATTTCCAGCTCGTACAAGTGCTCGAGATGAAAGAACAGCTTGGATTCAAATTTCAGCTCATTGATTTAGGGTGGATGAAAAAAAAAAGAATTAGGGTGGATGAAAGCACATGACTTCCACGGTTAAATCTAGTGCCTCAAGCAATAGCTTAAGCATGTAAAGATATATGGATGTTAAATTGTGAAAGCTACAAAATCTAAATAATTTGAAAAAATGAAATGCAATTAAAATTCGACCCAAAAAAAGAAATAAAATTAAATAGCGAAAGCTACAAAATCTTTTCAAAAAAGTTGAATTAAAAGTTAATAACGATTTCCGCCTTTTTTTTGTCTCATGAGTTACTGAATCAACCATGTTACCGGCTGCCTTTTTACCTTTCTCGCTCCTCTTCGATTTCCCCAACCCAAAGACAATTCACATTCGAATCATTTGAGCACTCCGCCGTGTGCCGGACTGGAACTAAAAATGTTTGACATGCGGAAGACGAAGCATCCATGTTTCCGGCACACGACGTCACTTGGCTTGTTTCTTGTTGCACTCCAAGCGTTTGTAGAATGTCCTGACTGGGTTCAAACTTCCAACCCTCTTTTCTGACATAATTCTGTTTAGCCCCGGATTTCTCTCTCAGATCCATTTCTCCTTTATTGTTGTGGTTTTGATCACATCATAGGGGTGTACAATGCGTGAACTATTTTATATGTATCTTCTGACATATTTTTTTGTTATGTTTGTGTAATTCGCAGAGTGTGTCCTGGAGTAGATCAACTATGGAGGGCAATAATGTTGTTGACGAAATCAGCAATGCGAAAAGTTGGAAGGGCCATAAAGATGGTGGAAATGATGTAATCAGTAGTTTGCCGGACTCAATACGGGTCTCTACATACATTCCTTCCTACCCACGAGGGACGCCGTACGGACAGTGATGGTCCCGCAATTCCGTTACCTCTGGACTTTTGCGCAACTTATCTTTTGATCAGTTCTTTCCATAATTGTGAACTGTGAAGAGCGGACAGTGTCACAATGGTCTTGAGTATGATGAGAAGTTCTTAAATTTCACCGTGTATTGACTCTGCATGAGAGCCCCACAATTGACTCGTTCCGGCTCAAGATGGATTTCTATTTGAACTACGCAACGGATGAGGATGTTTGTGATAATCCTGAATTCGAGGACCATGTAATGAAATAGAGAAGAATGTCGAACAAAATCGATTCATGGATTTGCTTTGCAGTGAGGAAAAAGGTTAAGTTCCTCGATTTGGGCTTCCTAGGGTGCGGCATTTCAGTTATTTCTTACAGGTTACCCAACATTGCTCTCAGGTCTAGCTATTTAGTACATCTCAAGTTAATTGCTTGTGATGTCAAACCACTAGGACCGATTCAATTGAAATCGCTTAAAAACTGTCATCGAAGGAAATTATGCTAAATGAGAAGATACTCGGTGAGATAGTATACGCTTGCCCATTACTTGGAGAGCTGTCTCTTGAAAAATGCTATGGTCTCCAGAAGCTCAGGTTCAATAGGCGCTCATCTATTGAAGAATTGAACCTCGACATGTGTGAGGGCTTGGAGAAGCCTGGTCTTGCTTCCTCTTATGCAAACAAATGAGTATGAGATCGGCTCTCTTGAATTATTTCGTAATGTTCTAAATGCGGAGTTTAATTTGGTGGCTTGGACATGTTGAAGATAAGGAAGACACTGTACAATCTAGATCTTCCATCACTAATATGCTCAGAGGCGCGTCCATCGTTTTGTTCCAATGGCGTAATTTCACTCTCACTTCCAAAATTCCTAATCTGCCACATCCCTTCCCTTTAGATTAACCAAAATCAGACACTAAAAGTTTATTCCATAAAAGATAACTAGGGGCGTCCATGGTTTGGTTCGGTTCGGATTTCTTTGAAATCTGAACCGAATAGCGTGTTGAAATTTAGTTCGATTCGGTTCTGATTTTCGATTTTCATTTATTTATTTATTTTATTTTATCTGATCTGATTTGATTTTATTAGCTTTTTCACTTTTTTGGACGTATGCCTTTCTCTCTCTCTCCTCCCACCTCATCCTTCTGTTCTTTGTCGCCCTCTCTCTCATGGGGCCTTTCGCTTCACCTTCACAACAATGGCGGTTTCTCCTCCTCTTCACGACCACCGCCCTCAACGATTTCGCGGCCTTCGCGCGTGCCGGCACCCCGGGCACCAACATCGGCCCCACCCACCTCCGCCTCCGCCACGGCCACTGCCGGCTCGTCCCCCACAATGCCGCCCTCAAGCGAGACTACTACGCCCCCTCTGCAATGCTCGACCTCGCCACCAACCGGATCCGCCTCCTCACCATCCTCACCGACACCTGGTGCTCCTCCGGTTAGTTCCTCCCCGACGGATCCCTCCTCCAGACAGGTGGCGACCTCGATGGCTTCCCCAAGACTTGCCGCTTCACCCCCTATGACCTTGCTGGCGGCTGCGACTGGGTTGACCTCGACCACCGAAGCTCTCCGACGGCGGTGGTACGGCACGAGCCAGATCGTCCCTGACGAGTCGGTGATCGGCGGCTGCGGCAGCGTCTCAGCGAACAACGTCGAGTATTATCCACTGAGGGAGACGGGAAGATCTGCAGAGAGAGAAATACCCAAATGATCGAATATAAATGTTGTGCATTTTCAGTTCGGCTCGGCTTATAAACCGAACCGAACCAAACCAATAAAACCCAAACCAGCAAAAAAAAAGTCATTTTTTCAGTTATCCGAACCGAACCGAAAATACACGAAATTTCGGTTCGGTTCGGTTCGATTTGTATTTCAGTTCGATTTTCTAGTTTGGTTCTGACACCCTAAAGATAACAATGTTGTCGAAGTCGGTTTACTGTTTCAGGGTCACAATTAAGTTGAAGTGACCGACTTCCTTTTCTATCAGTCTAAACATTTCTTTCTTCTATCGGGTATTGACTATATGGGAATTGAGCCAACGGCCCTGCCCATCGTTTGCATGGAAGCATTTGACGCTTGAAGTGAGTCTAACAGAGTGGCACCTCCCTCGGATTTCTAGTATAATTAACTTCTCATACTAGTAAAACGGCCCTCATGGGGATGGCAGAGTATTCTGATGGGGAGAGATTTGATATCGAACTCAGTAATATGGTCGGTTGGCATAGGGGAAAAAATCAATATCTGAGAAGATAGGTGGCTAAAACGAGGATTAATAAGAGGACTAGCAACTTCTCGAAACCAACCAGAGTTGCAAACGTAATCCAAAATGAGAATAGAAGATGGAATGAAGATTTGCTAGCAAGAATGTTTGATGAGCAAACTGTTAACGAGGCGTTAGCAATACCACTATGCAGTCATGCAACAGAGGACAAACTTGTGTGGACAGCTACGAAGTTGGGGGTCTTCTCGGTGAAAAGTGCATACAATCAGATTCATCAAAAGGAAAACACACAGAATGTAATGCAAGCCTCATCATTTTTCAAGCCATCCCGCAAGCTATGGTGCATAATCTAGAATTTAAAAATCCCATCCAAGGTTAGAATATTTCTATGGAGTGTATGCCAAAATGCTCTCCCCACAGCAGAAAACCTCTATAGGAGGAAAATCTTACCTCGACCAGCATGCCCCTTCTATGATAAGGAAACTGAAATGGTAGAGCATCTATTTCTTCTCTGCCCCTGGACCGAAGCCATCTGGACAGATCCCTCAGTACAGATCAAAATCACACGTCAAGAAATAACACGGATTGAGGTATGGATTCATAACTATGAGTTACGGCTACATAAATTGCTGAATCTAGATGAAATGGCCATTCTTTTGTGGTTGATATGGAAGGCCAGAAATGAATTTGTGTTTAGGAAAAAACCCCTAAATCCGAGCACCCTAATTGAGTCGGCAAGAATGATAATGCAAAATTATAGGAAGTGGAATCATCAAAGCTCTATTTTGCACGCTGAAAAGAGCCTTTTACCTCTGTGTTGGAAACCACCGATGAGAAACTCCTTCAAAATCAACATAGATGGATCCTTCCTTGGAGATGTAGCAAAAGGCGCAGTTTCTGGAATCCTCAGAAACGAAGTTGGTACCTTGCTAGAAGGCTTCGCCAGGACAGTACCCGCGACCTCGCCGTTGCACATAGAACTGCAAGCTTTGCTGCATGCTCTAGACTACTTCGTCGACAGGAGAAAAGATGGAATTGTGATAGAAACTGATTGTCTTGAAATAGTAAAGAAGCTGTAGGACCAGAGAGAAGTCGGCTGGGAAGAGGAAGCTTTCATTAGAGAAGCGTATATCCGAATGGCCCAATACACAAACCTAACTGTGGCCCATTGCAATAGATCCGCGAATCAAGCTGCCGATTGGGTCGCCAAAGCGCAACGTACAAATTCCCTTTTTTCATCTTGGCTAACCCGTCCCCCCCAACCATTATGGGAGTTGTTATGTTTTGATGCCCCTTCGTCGGGTTGTAGTTTCAAGAACACTTAATTTTCAATCAAAGTGTTTCTATTTAGATCAAAAAAAAAAATACTAGTAAAAGATCTAAGCCAAACTATTACGTATATAAGATGAAAGAAATAGGCGGTAGTCCTAAGACAGGGAGATTTGTGTTATGCTTCATGCATCATAGCTAGTATTCGTTAACAAGTTCAGTCACTACCGGCAAAATTTATTATCACTGGCTAAGTGTAATATTCAAGTTTTCTTTGTCTCATCTCGTGTTGGCGGTTTAGGGGTGTGCAACAGGTTCAGTCCAACCCAATTTTTAGCCGGAACCAGTTCAATTCTCGGCTCCAAAATCCTAAAATTGGCCTTTGCTATTTGGTTCGGCTCCCAGTTCTTATCTTAGAACCACCGGTTTGAATCAAAATCCATAATAAAATTTACTATCTAGGGAGAACGTTGCGTAGTATAAAAGAAAACTCAGACCAATGATAAATAGGAAAACGGAACTTGCAACACCATAGGAAAGTTACAGGAAAATAATGATAATAGTCACTGACAAATCAGAATGTATCCAAAAGTCGCTTTGAAGAAACAAAATTGCAGCAACTTCAATGACTAGAAAATATTTCATTGTTGATAAGTAAGGTACCGTTTGGAGTCATATAATTTTTATTCATAATCAATTAAATCAATCAAACTTGTTTATATAATCATTTAAACGTTTCTAAGTGATAATAATCTATGGTTACACAACTTCAACGTTAGGTTTGAGTGCTAAGTTTGTACTCTGTGTTGACACCTATTTTTAATTTGCCCAAAATTAATTGCACAAAATTTAGGAGTTAATTTTCTTTAATTCCTAAAATAAAAAATATTTCTATTTAAATACATTGCATATATAAATTAGGCATATTTGTATTAGTAGGGTCTATTAGAGTGTTTTTTTTAAAAAAAATTCAAAATTTACAAAAAAAAATTCAATTTGGGCCGGGTCGGGGCCGAGCCGACCCGGCCCCTTTTCTTTTTCTTCTCTTTTCCCCGCACGGGCCCCGGCCCTTTTTCTTTTTCTTTTCTCCCTCGCGCGAGCCCGGCCCGCTCTCTTTTTCTTTTCTTCTTCCCCCCCCCCCCCCCCCCGCCCCCACACGAACTGGGCCTGGCCCGGCCTTTCTCCTCCTTCCTTCTCCCCCGTCGCCCGTCGCTGTTTCCTTCCCCTGTTCGCCCTTGTTCTGGCCGCAGGGTGACGAACGGGGGCGGCCTCTCGCTGTCGCTATCTGGCCAGAGCAGGGGCCGAAGAGGCATGCCGACGGGACTAGCAGTCCTCCCCGATTTCCCGGGCTCTCCTCTCCCCCTTCTTCCTCTCTTCCTCACGGCACTGAACTGGCTCCCCCTGCTCTGCACCGGCCTAAATGGCCACGAAAGTCACGGGCCAGATAGGCCGGTGCAGGCCATCGTCATGCAGACGCGAGAGCAGGTGAGACGCGTCGTCGCCGCTTATAAAAGCCGAAGAGAGAGAGAGAGGCGGGGGTCGGCCATTTGAGAGAGAAACAGGGAGAGATAGAACAGAGAAAGAAGAGAGAGAATAGAGAAAGAGAGAGAGAAAATCGAGAATCCTCAGGCCGTGAGAAGGAAGCCCGTTGCCTCGCCGATGCCCCCCCGACCAGCCGGAAAACCTCCAGTTGCGTCGCCGAACGGTGAGCCTTCCCCGGTGCTCTGTTCGCCCCTGTTTTTGTGTCCGGTGTGGCCGGGACTCGCGCCGACCGTGTCGCGCGATTCCCGACCCATAACGTCTTCAGTCCCGGTCCCTACTCTCTGTCGAAGGTGAGCCACAGCCGTTGGAGCCGACCGATTCGTCGGAGGAGGTCGAAACACCTCAGTTTTGGTTATGCACGCCAGGTGTTCGACGAAATGCCTCAAAGAGGCCGGTTTTTAATTCGGTCGCCGGCCGGCGAGCGGCGGTCGGACGGCGAGCCAAGTAGGCGGCGAGACTTGGTGGTGGTTCTAAAAGCCGGATTTGGGGCCGGCGCCGGCCTAGGTCGGCCAGCGGAAGGCCAATTTTGGCTCCGCCGGCGTCCCCGCGTGTTTGTACACGCGGGGTTGACCCGACCCGGGTCAACGCCCTGGGTCGGATCCGTTGACCCGGGTTGGTTCCGACCGACCCGGATTCGCGACCCGACCCGGTTTTATTTTATTTTATTTTAATTTTTTTAAAAAAGACTTTTTTTTATCTTTTTCTTTTTTCTTTTCTGTATTTATTTTATTTTATTTTTTTAAAAAAATTAATTTTTTTCTTTTTTTCTTTTCTTTTTCTCTTTCCTAAATTATGTGATACATCTGTTGTTTTAATTTATTGTATTATTATGCATGTTATTGTCTTGTTTAAATTAGACAAGCCTGAGGTTGCGCGGTAGTATTTTTGCATGTTTTTTTTTATTTCCGTTGTATTATTATGCATGTTTTTAATACAATTGCTGAACTGTTGTGTTTTGAATGTCATCTGACTTAATTATGATTAAAACCTAAGGCTGCATGTCTATTTTGACTGCTGATCGTTTATGATTATGCACTCGCTTGATCACCTCACATGTTAGGAGAAAGGTCCTAAAATCAATCCAAATTGCCTGACAAATATTTTCAGAAATGAACAGGGTAAAAAGGTACCGAAAGGGCATTTGTTATTCAACTAGTGTAACCAAGTGCCCGAACTCAGTTAATCTCTGGTTCGCAGGAATAGGGTGATTCTCCCATCACCTTATTTGGGTTTCTAATCGACTCACCCCAAATCGATTAGTGGCGACTCCTTGGTATAAACTACTTGCATGTTAAACACTTAAACCCTAAGTCGCGATATGGTATGGGCTTGGAAGAGCCTGAATTAAGTCCCGAACCTAGACTTAGCATGTACCAGGCGAACCCCCCCTTTTTGCACATGATCGAAAAAAAAAGCGGGAGGTCGGTCGCGACACTCTGTTATTTTAGGGCAAAAGGACACTATAAACGCCATAACTTGTGTACGGCGCTCACTTTGGTGCCATAACTTTTTTTCGGATCACTTTGGTGCCAAGTCGGAGGAAAAACGATCACTTAAGTGTCATAACTTTTTTTTGGAACACTTTAGTACTAAAATTTTTGAAAAACGATAACTTAAGTGCTAAAATTTTTGAAAAATGAACATTTAAGTGCTAAAATTTTTTAAAAACGATCACTTAAGTGTCAATCTCCGGCGAGACTCCGGCGAGCCACGTCAGCTTCAGAAATTAATAAAAAAAATGCCACGTCAGATTTCCGGCGAAAAATTGTGTACGGCACCGGAGTTGGCACTTAAGTGATCGTTTTTCAAAAATTTTAGCACTTAAGTGATCGTTTTTCAAAAATTTTAGCACTAAAGTGATCCAAAAAAAAGTTATGGCACTAAAGTGAGCGCTGTACACAAGTTATGGCACTTGTAGTGTTCTTTTGCCGTTACCTTAGTCATCCTTATGAACAATGTTAAATGCCAGCTTGTCGCAAAACGTGGCACTCGGTGCCTACCTTCTAATGAATGGAGTACCTAAAGCGAACAAAACGCTGTTGTTTCATGGATCGGATTATCCATTAGCTTTTAGAGCATAACAAAACCGTCATTTAGATTGTCCCGTTTGCTAGCTATTGCTTCTGCTGGGCGAGCCCCCATCAATTTTTTTGTGAGTTTCGTTCTTTACAAGGTGTAATCAAGATGGCGTCATTTTGGACTGACAATTTAATCGCACTTATGGACGACTAAGGTAAAAGTGGCCAAAATTGTCCCATGGAGTGCCTTTTTTGGAACATTTGAAAATTGTCTATTGGGTGTATACGTACGTGCGTTCTCCGATGTGCATTTCTTCGGTACGTTTTGGAAATTCTTTTGCCATAGTGTCCCTCCGGTGCCTTTTTTGGTAAAGAGGTATGGAACTGTCAAGACTGACCAAGTAGCGGAACATAGAGGCAGAGGAGGTGGGACTACTGATCAGGGGTGCTTCGAGCTCAGGAAGGGCTCCCCCAAATGGAGGCAGAAGAAGGGGCATAGCTTCGAGTTCTGGAAAGGGCGCGCCTACGGGTTGATGTACACAGAGGTTCAAGCTCGGCAGGAGCAGAACCTCAGACATGGAGGTCCTGATGAGAACAAGGAGGCAAACAGGAACAAACATTGAATCACTTGTTTATTGTAGTTTCCCTCTGATTCTTCCCTGGACGCGAGCTAGTTGATCATTTTTGCTAAAAAAAAACGTGAACTGTCAGAAATTGGATGCACTGAGTGAATGTGTTCTTGTAATTCGGGTTCTTCTCTTGAACTCATGAGCTTCTACTATTTTGGTGTCATGAAATAGAGCCCTACGGGACTCAGTGACACTCTGCCAGTCCAAATAAAGCTACATATGTACTTAATTCTTAGTCTTTTTTTTTTGTCAGAATTTATTTCTTAGTCTGGCACAGTGGTTTTTCATACATATTAAGTTAGCGATTTTCACCAAAAAAAAATAAAATTGGTGATGCTTCAACTTAAACCATTTTTCCTGCGGTTTCTCTTGAAATAGGTTATGTAATAAGACTTCAGATAATTGTCACTGGTACAAACTTCGCTGGAAAATTGTCCAAAAAAGTCATAAACTTATTGCACTTTTGCCATTTAAGTCCTAAACTTTTTAATTTTACCAATTGAGTTATCAACATTTTCATGTTTTGCCAATTGAGTCCATCCGATCAATTTTTGCCAAAAATCGTTGACGTGGCAGTCCAATCAGCACCAGCCATCCTACATGGCACGGTTGGTGCTGCCATTGATAAATTTTAATATTTTTTCGAATTTTTTTATTTATTCTTTTCTTTTTTTTTTCTTCCATCGTCTTCCTTCAGCTGGTCACCGGCCCAGAGCGATGGTTGGCGATTGGCCAAAGGTAATCGCCAGCGAGAGTCGCCATTGCCAGCCTAAGATGAGGTCACCCTCGCCGAGATTTGGAGAGGGGCGACCTCACCATAAGCCAACGAGGGGTGGCCTTGCCCGAGGCCAGCAAGGTCGAGCCTCGCTTGAAGCCAACAAGGCCGGC